GTGAGTGGACCGCCGCTGCCGCGAGGGCGCCGCCTGGCGTCCAGAGCGGACACTGCGGTCCTGGAGGAAAACGTTGGCGCTGGAAGGGCTCGCCAGGTCCTTTAACAGATGGGGAAGCTGAGGTCCTGGAGAGCAAAGTGTGCATCGGGTCTCCGGGTCTCCGGAGCGTAGAACCAGGGCTTTCCCCGGGCTCCCCGTGTGGGTTAGAGCTCCGGGTTTGGGTCAGTCGGGCCTGAGTGTGAATTTTATCTTCTCTTACGGTTGTGGCCTCAGGGAAATAACCTGACGGTTGTCCTCAATTTATTATTATTATTTTTTTAATTTTAAATATATTTTATTTATTTCAGAGAGGAAGGGAGAGGGAGAGAGAGATAGAAACATCGATGACGAGAGAGAATCATTGATCAGCTGCCTCCTGCAGGCCCCCTACTGGGGATCGAGCCCATAACCCAGGCATGTGCCCTTGGCCAGAATCAAACCTGGGACCCTTCAGTCCGCAGGCTGATGCTCTATCCACTGAGCCAAGCTGGCCAGGGCAAATTGTTATTATTATTTCTTTTATTTTAGAGAGAATAGAAGGGAAAGAGAATGAAAGAGTGATGTGAGAGAGACACATCGAGTGGTTGCTTCCTACACGTACCCTGACTGCAACCGGGGATTGAGCCTGCAACACAGGTACATATCCTTGACCGGAATTGAACCCAGGACCCTTTAATTTGCAGGCCAACGCACTAAAACAACTGAGCAGCCTGGCTGGTTTGGCTCAGTGGATAGAGCGTCGGCCTGTGGACCAAAGGGTCCCAGGTTCGATTCTGGTCAAGGGCACATGCCTGGGTTGCAGGCTCGGTCCAACGTGCAGGAGGAAGCCAATCAATGATTCCCTCTCATCATTGATGTTTCTATCTCTCCCTCTCCCTTCCTCTCTGAAATCAATATAAATAAATAAATAAATAAAACCACTGAGCACACTGGCCAGAGTTCAATTTATTACTGAAAAGGAGTTTAAAAAAATTGCCTCCTGGAGTCACTGAGAGGGTTAAATAATTTTAATGAAGCACCTAGAATAGTGGTTCTCAACCTTCTGGCCCTTTAAATACAGTTCCTCATGTTGTGACCCAACCATAAAATTATTTTCGTTGCTACTTCATAACTGTAATGTTGCTACTGTTATGAATTGTCATGTAAATATCTGATATGCAGGATGGTCTTAGGCGGCCCCTGTGAAAGGGTCGTTCGACCGCCAAAGGGGTCGCGACCCACAGGTTGAGAACCGCTGACCTAGAACCATGGCTGGGCATCACATCACTTCACCTCACCTGGGGTTGTTGTGAGGCTGTTATAAGAATGCCTGGCACAGAGTCTGAGGGAATGAGTGTGGCTGCTGCTGTCCTGGTAGGAGCAAGCACTCAAGTTGTGGACAATGTTAGACACTTCCCCATGCTCCTGGCCCTGGGGGGGGGGGGGGGGGGGGGGAGAGCCGGAGGCAGAGGCTTGCACTCATTCCCCCGTTATTGCCTCCTCTCCCACAGATGAGTCCTGCCGGAGGTGACCCTCTTCCAACACAGGGACCTACCTTCCTCCTTCCCGAAATGAAGATCCTGGGTCCCGGAAGGTTCAGAACAGACGCCCCTGAAAGTTTCAGCTGCTTACTCTGTTTGTTCCGGGACAAGACCTGGGACGCGTCTGCCTATATCGCCGCCATCTTGCTGTCCCCGCCCTGTCTCTGAGGACAGAGCCCAAATGCCACCTCGCCCCCAGTCCCCAGAGTGAGTGCCAGCTGTGCTCACGCTCCCTGGGCGGCCCAGTCCCAGGCGGAGGCCGAGCTCACGGGATGGGGTGGGGGGAGGACCCCTCCATCTGTGGGCACAGCACACCTCCCGGCAGCCTTCCTTGGGAGGCCGGCCCAGTCCTTTCATAGGCACCTCTTTCTCCTGTTCCTTAGGCACTGCCCTTCGTTTACAGCTCCTGCTTCCTCTCTCTTTTTAAAAATATTTTTTTATTGATTTCAGAGAGGGAGAGGGAGAGAGATAAAAACATCAATGATGAGAGAGAACCATCAATCGGCTGCCTCCTGCACGCCCTGACTAGGGATCAAGCCGGCAACCGGGGCCTGTGCCCTGACTGGGAATCGAACCGTGACCTCCTGGTTCACAGGCTGATGCTCAACCACTGAGCCCCACAGGCTGGGCTCCTGCCTCCTCTCTTGACCATAATCTGGTTTACAAACACCCCCAGCTCCCCTCCCAAGGACCCAGGTTTACAAGCCACGCCTGTTTCCCATGTCCATGTGGACCCTCTTCCCTGTCCCCAAGTCACCTCATTGGGATGACCTGGGGGTGGCTTCCTCCACTTTTGCTCAGTATTACTCTGCCTCGGTTTTCCCCAAGAGGGAAGGCTGGGAATCTTAGCTCTGTACCCCCATCTGGTTATTTAATTCTGTTCCTCCTCATGGTTCACAAATGAATTGAATTGCAAGGGTTTGGTGTGACTAACGAAGCACCTCAATTCTCCCCTACTTCTCCTTCCTTATCAATTGCCTGTTTTTAAAAAGACAATTTTTCATAATAAAGTGGAGCTCTTTCCAACTCTCCTGTTGCTTCTCCTTCTTTAGAAAAAAAAGTGTACGTCGAGGCTGCTCTGGTTCTTCCAAGCCTCTGCCATCTTCCTATTGGCCAAGAAGGGGAAGTGGCCGTGGCTGTGGGTGGGGGTGGGAGGAGCTCAGCACTGCGGTAGGAAGCTTTGGGAGAGCCCCCAGTGGCTTCTCGAAGGGCTGGTTTGAGGAAGGGCAGTGGAAGTATCCACCAGACATGGCCAGTGCAATGAGGGCAGACTAGGCTGGTTAGGTTCAACCCCACGCCTGGCACCTCGTAGACAAAAAAGTTATTTCTAGAATGAATGATTCAATGAGTAAATCAGCAGATGAAAAGAGCGAAGGAACTGGAAGCAGAGGATGCTCTGAATTGGAGGGGCCAGTATTCAGAGGCCGACGGCAACGCAAGCAGCAGGCAGTGTGCCAGTGGCTAACCCGAGTCCTTCACCCCAAGACTCGGCACCAATAACAAATCTGAAAAACACAGCACATCAACAGTGCAGGGTCCTAAAAGGGTCTCCTCTGATGGAAACAGGTGTTCTCAAAGGTTTAAGATCCACGCTGCCCTGGCCAGGGGCTCGGTTAGCTGGAGCATCATCCCGTGCACAAAAAGGTTGTGGGTTCAGTCCCTGGTGAGGGTATGTATGGGAGGCAATTGATAGATGTTTCTCTCTCATTCGGTGTTTCTCTCCCCCTTCTTTCCTCTCTCTCTAAAATCAATAAAAACATGCCCACAGGCGAGGATTAAAAAAATCCACGGCTATTTCATGGCTTTGTTGCCCAAGTATCTAGCTGGGAGATTTTCCCATTTCGAAGAATTCTGTCTTCCACAAACGTGGGAGGTCTGCACTTTCCTTACCAGGTCAGTGTTTAGTTCTCCGGGGTAGGAAGACATGCTTGGATAGGTACGGTCCTGTCCATAGAGGATGCCCAGTCGGAGGGACCCCACTAAGAACAGGATGTACTAGACAAATTGATCTAAACATATGCCAACAGCCTCTAATTTACTAGCAGGGGGACCAGTTCAGAGAGGCTGTGGGTATGGAGGGTAACAGAATCCTTAAGGTAGTAGCTCATTAGGTAAAGACCCTCATCTGTTTTGACCCAAGAAAGTAGAGGCAGGAGGCCGAGAGATGCCAGGGGTGCCCACAGTCCATCTCAGAAACCAAAAGCAGTGCGTCCAAGAAGTCAATGATACGGAATTACCAGTGGCTGTTAATTGGAATAACCATGTTTTGTTTCTTGACAGTAGTGTCTGATAAGTCCCATTAATCATGAAGTATGAAGCAGGGTCAAACAGGTCCGACAGCAGAGTCAATTAACAAGGTCTGCTCACTTGTAAATACGCAGCCACCAGTGCACTTCGCAAGCTGTTAGCAAACATGCAGAGCACAGCTCGGGCATGCCTTATTCAGAGATCTTTTATTTTTACTGATTTCAGAGAGGAAGGGAGAGGGAGAGAGAGAGAGAAACATCGGTGATGAGAGAATCATTGATCGGCTGCTTCCTGCAGGCCCCCTACTGGAGATCAAGCCCGAAACTGGGAATCCTGACCTCCCGGTTCATAGGCTGACACTCAACCACGGAGCCATAGCCGCCAGACTAGTTCGGAGAGCCTTTAAAAGTGCTTTCTGAGATAGCATCAAGAAAAGCAAAGCACCTGTTCTCCCCCCAGGTCCCAACTTCCTTCCTGCCTGGAGGTCCTCGCTCAGGCCTAACCTGTGTTCACTGCTGCTGCAGACAGGGCTCCGAGCAAGCTCACTCCTCATCAGTATGGGCTAATTTGAAATGGAATCCCAAAATACACCTTGCTTTTTTTTTGGGGGGGGGGAGGGCTCCATAGAACTTACATGCTTTATTTATTATGTATTTTTTCTTCCCCCTCCCCCTTAAATGTAATTCGGTAAGGGATTTTTGTCTGATTTGTTCTTTGCTATATCCCTAGCGACTAAAATTGTGTCTAGCACCTTAGGCGCCCGCGTTTGTTGAATGAATGGGTGAGTGAAGCATCCGCGGGCTGACCACCTGGGGGCGACAGAGATTCTGCGGGGCGGAAAAGAAAATGTACGGTTCCGCGAGACTTGGACTCTATCGGCCACCGTCGTACTCAGACCGGAAAAGCGCCGCCGGAAGCTCCGGGGTCCGAGAGGGCGGCTTTGGGCTGTTGGAAACTGAAC